AACGGAAGGCATAACATTGGACCAAATTCTAAAAATGAGGTATGACATTATCAATTTTAAAAGATGAGATATGAAAATGTGGTGACATAATTTTTTGTACTTTACCCAAAATAAACGAGTCTTAAGAAATTCAACGGTTCTAATTATAAATGTTATAGAGTAAAAATAAAAGGTTAATAGTAAGGTGTCGGTTACGTGCAGTCCTCTGCTGGAAATACAAGTATTATCCTTTGTATGTGGCTCCAAAATTGTAGATAGAGAAAAAGCCCAAACATGAAATGACCCTATACATGACAGGTAGCCATCTTCTTGCCATGTGCTTTGAGCTCCATGTGCAATACTTGGACTAATTGACTATAAAATTTCGGAAACTGAAACCCCTATAAGTAAAAGAGAGAGACGGCATATGAGGAAAAAGTTAGCCATGTATTTTTATGTACTGGTTTTAGCAACAGATATCTTATTTTTAATTTGGGGGTGCAATAATTTATTGGCTTTGAAGTTTTTTTTTTTTTTTTTTTTTTGTGATGCTTGAAAATTTGTTTTCATTTTTATTATTAAGGAGCTTATGACCATATTTACTGATAATTAATTAAATATTAAAAAAATTATATAGATCTTATCAATTAAATAAAATAAATATATGAGCTAACTCGGCTCAACACAACACTATACAAACACATTTCCTGCATAATTATGCAACTCTAAAGTGTATTTGCCAAAACAAAACCGGGATCTCTACTAAGAGAGTTCTACATGCTCTTCAACACTGGAATCCTAAACCCTAAACCCAAAATCTCAATAATTAACTCTTGGTCTTCCGGTCGAAAAACAACGTCGATGAAGGTGTGTAGGTGCACTAAGCAACCTAATTTGGGTTGTTATTTTCTTGTTTGCTATCATCATTAATGTACGTTGATGTACCTGGTCACAATGATTTTATCATTCATTTATATAAGTAGAAAATGATAAACAATTTCAACATATACGTGTATGCATTTTGCTTGTTCGTTTATTATTTAATTCCATCTTCCAACTTAAGATGTTCAGTTTCATTGTTTCAACACAAAATCTCCATTCTTTCCGCACATTTGTGTCATATACTTGTAAGAAAGAATAATTGGAGTCCTTTTTCAAGCCTCACCTCCCTCCATCGCTAGAATTCAAACCTTGCTTATATACACAGCTTACTAATCTCTACTTCTACGCCAATTCTTCGACGGCCGGGCTGGTCCCTCGTTTAGCTCCAGTGTGCAACAACAAATGTTCTCCTCAAACCAACCACTGCAAGTACGATATGGTATATGAAGAAGGAGATCATTCAGTTGGTTATTCTGTATCAGATGAGCAACATTTGGATATGATTCTGATGCAGTTTCACACCAAACTCCGGTCTTTAGCTTTGGTTAAATTTGGATGAGCTTTAATATGCAAGTCTCTATCTTGTTTTCTATTCAATATAATTTTTATATACATATATACTTGCTATTTCAATTTTGTTTCTCTCTGTTGATTCTTCTCCAACATTGAAAATAGGTGCAGTACTTATGTCTTTGAGGTTTGGGTCTCGGGTTTTGGTCGAGACCCAAACCTCACTTAATGGGATACTTGGGTTTGGCCAAGGTGCAATGTCCGTCATATCCCAGTTGTCCCCCATTTATTGAAAACAAAATGACCATTTACCTATTTTACCAATAGCAAAATGGATATTTATGTATTGGTTCTAGCGACTGATATTTTTTTTATAAAAATATGTGGCCTACAATAATTTATTGACTTTTAATGTTTTGTTTATTTATTTTTAGTTTGGACTTTTTGACGCTTGAAAATTCGTCTTCATTCTTCATTATTAAGGAGTTTACGGCCATCTTTACTTACAGTTAATTAAATGTTAAAATCATACGTATCTTCTTAATTAAATAAATAGATATTTTGGATGCGGCCCCTAATTTTTAACATTCTTTGATTAAAACCTTAATAGTATTCAAAGTTTGATCAAAATCCCTTGACTTTGTACACCTCATTATATTACTATTAATATTTATATTTTTATAGTTTTGACATTAATTGTTTAATATTTTATGAGATTTATAATCCTATAAATTTAAAATCCCTCATTATAATACTATTAGTAATGGTTACAATAAAAAAATTCAAACATTTTGATTGAATAAATGGGTAAAAACTATGCAAAAATAAGAAATAATAAATGGCAAAAGAATGTATCCATAGTGTTAAAAAAATTGGTACATTTCACATATAACAAAGTGGTACATTAATAAAAAAGAATGGGTACATTATACATAAATTAGGGCATAGATAAAAGATTAAAAAATTATGAGTACAAATGAATTTTAAAAAAAAATATAGGCGCTACAAGAAATTAATACATGGGTACAAAATAAAACTAAAAAGAAAATACTACAAATTAAAAAAAATGTTGCAAATTAAAAGTGGGTACAAACTAAAAATATAAATATATGATACAAAGTTTAGGCATAAAACATAAATATACCATATGTAATTTTTCTATCATTGATTAAATATCCAATGTCACGTGATGGTATACATATGGGTACAAACACAAATAAAACTTTAAAAAATATGGGCACAAAAAGAAACTAATAAATGGGTACAAATTAAAAATGAAAAGAAAATTGGTACAAACTAAAAAAATATTTGCAAATCAAAAATAGGTACAAACTAAAAATAAAAATATATGATAAAAAATTTAGCCATAAATATAAATATACTAATTGTAACATTTTTAACACTAAAGGAATATTTTATAAATAAAAATATTTTATTATTCAAATAATTAATGATGTTATTAATACCCAAGGATCTTGATCAAAAATTGAAAATGAATAAGATTTTAATCAATGGAGTAACAAAAAGAAATATGTGAACATAATTTCTCCTTAAATAAAATAGTACACGGGCTAACTCGACCCAACACGTCATTGTACAAACACATTTTGTTCTAGCCAATAATTTTTTGAATGGTAGCTACTTTGTTTATTCATTTTTTATTATTAAGGATTCATTCTGATCAGGCTCGATGAGCTCCGAGCTAGAGAGTCAGTGAGGCACGCCCGCCTTATCGATGGCATTGTCAATGTGTCACATAGCAAGTATATGAAGATGGTCCAAAGCTACTAGGGCTACAGCAGTAGTCCTTGGTATGGTTCCACTAGTACAAGTATAGCTGAAGCGTGTCATGTTATAATGACAGATTTTTTTAATGTAGTCAAAATACTTTTACGTGATATATGTTATAATGAGAGATTTTTTAATACAGTCAGAACACTTTCACCTAATATTTAATATTTCAGGTAATCACAGCACCCTCTCTTTGTATTCCTAACAAAAAAATAAATAAATTAAAAAGAATATTGATCACTCAGAAGGTAGAATTCGATCGTGCCTCTCTTGAAACCAAACCTCGCCGCCCTTTCTTCCGCTTGCTCCAATGCTTCGTTAATGATCCTTAATTTATCTGTTGTGACTTGTTGCCTACATTAACCCTTTACGTTCGGCACTAAGAAGATGAATGAGGAAGAGAAGCCGATTAGGGCGAAAATTACACCACCGGGAATCCATGGAGGTATGAGAACAATGTGAGAAACAAGGAACATAACTTAAGACTTGAAGAGGGATATGGGCATCCAGGGAATCGGACCTTGCTCAGTACCGTGGGACGGTACCATGATACCACCACGCCACAAGTGCTTCTTGTTCACTAGCTTCTCCATTTTTTTATAAAACGAAAATCTATTTTCTTCTTAATAAACCCATTTTTTTTGTCAAACTTCTTAATAAACTGATTAAACGAATCAAGGGATTTGCAGAGCTTTGAAGATGTTAAAACTATCACACAGACATATAATAGTAAAAAATGACAACAAATTGTCTTGAACCGAGCCTTCAGTTTCTTACGTGGCGTCGAGTGAATTGAAGGCAAAGCCTTTAATGTCAAATTCATTTAATTTTAGTAGATGTGATGAAATATATAATAAATGTTGTTTTGTGTTTCAAGTATTTGATTTGTTGTCTCAATAATTGGACTCCACAAAGAGATGAAACAAATTATATACTGAATTTGTTATTTAACAAATCTGGTGGAGTAAAAAATTGTACAAAATTTTAAATGGAACTTTAACGAAAAGCTTATGGTACTGTTCACTTTAACGAAAAACCATATTTTTACATTAAAAAGTCAATCTTGATATTATTCACTTTACCCTTTATTTTGTCATTTTCGTTAAAACTCAAAGTTTTCAAACCATTTTTATTAATTTTTCCTAACACGTAAGTCATCAAATATCATTTTTTTTAATCTTTAATGTTTAGAGATGCTTTAAAACGTAGCTTTTTACAGTAGCTAAAAGCCTAAAAGTCCACTTTTGGTTGTTTTGTCTTTCGCTCAAGAAAGTTTCTCTACCTCAGAGCATGAAAGCAAGATTGCCTGCATAAATTGTGGCCTAGAGAACGAATAAAATCTTTGGTGGTACAAATCGCATCCGCTTTTCTTTAATTCATTAAAGACTTTGAATTCGAGATGTCACAGCGACAGTATACTGTTGTAACATTGAAAAGTCTGAAAATCTCTCTCAGAGGGAGGTGTTACTCTAAATACTAATTACTCTCGTTAGTCCCCAAAACAAAGGGCTATAATGGCATTCCCCTGCCCTTGAATATACACCCTACAGAGATGAATGGCGCCAATATCGCATCGATAAGTGTCTATATCATGTGGAATGAATACTCTGTTTTGGCGTGTTATCAAACATTATTATCGGTAAAAGCCGCAGGCACAGAAAATTTCTAAACTGGTGAAAGAACGGAATGAACAAGAAAACACATAAATAACTTGTAAAGAAATTGCCTTTCATCAAACTTTGATCTGCAAGTCTTACAAAAGGCTTAACCAAATCAAACGGAAAGAGTCTCAGAGAGATGCACTTCTATAATTTTGTACCAAATAAAAACTCAGAAAATGGACAGTTAAATCCCCTTTTCTACTGCAAGTTCAGAGACAGAATACATACCGAAATCATATAATGCAGAAGAGAAATGCCAAATGAAAAATGATACCAAATCCGCAATCGACAAAACCCATCTGCTTCTTCGTCCTAGCTAGATGCCCCAAACTTAGTAAAAAAAAAAGGGCAAAATGTAAACAAACCATTGTGTGTGGTGTGGGGCAGTGTGTGTGTGCGTGTGTGTGTGTGCGTGTGTGTGTGTGTGTGTATATGTATATATTGACATGCTCTTCAAGAGGTCTCAGCCATGAGTGTTCAAAGCTTCCCAGACCAAGTTCTTCGGGACTGGATTCGACAGGTCTCTAGCCTGGAGGGCAGCAGTCCTTAGAGTCCTGAGTGTGGCCTTATTGGCCTCCCAGAAGGACAAGCTCCTGTATGGCAAATTGTGCTTCTTGCACAACTCCTTCACAGTAGGAGCAATCTTCCTCAGTTGTCCGCGAGGCATTCGCGGAAACAAATGATGTTCGAGCTGGAACTGCAGCCCGCCGAAGAACCAATCCATCTTAGTTGAGCAGGAGATATCGACAGTCCCCGCGGCTTGCTTCTCGAACCAGTCATTGCCATTGGGGGCTCCGAGATAGGTGTCGCCGGAGAAATGATTCAATGTGAATTGGATGTGCTGGAGCGATGTCACTGCAAATGCTGCCAGCACAAACATAACCCTCTCACTCCAGTTGGGCAAACACGAAACGAGGAGAGGAAACCATGTCCAGAAAACTAGGATTCCCATGATGTTCAATCCTCTGTTTGGGACATCCCGCCTCGAACACAAGAGCAAGAATGTCTGGATGAACAAATTAACCCTCCCCACCATCATAACCGGATAATATGTAAAGTGCTGGTAGCTGACCAAAAACCTAGCCAGAGGATCAAATGTCAAAACTCTTCCGTAAAAAATCGAGGTGATCGAATTGAAAAACTTGGTGGAGACTGCGAAAACCGGAATGTGCTGGAGATCCGGATCGTAATCGAGGCTGTTGCAGGCAATGTGGTGGGCATTATGAGTCCACTTCCACCAGGCAATGCTGATTCCGGTGAGGCAATTACCGGCAACAATCTGGGCAATGTTGTTGCACAGTTGGCTTGGCATTACCTGGTAATGCCCACAATCATGTCCGACGTAAGCTCCCTCTATCCACAACATCCCCAGAAGCATCCCGCTCATCAAATGCACCAAAACGCTGTCGGATTTCAAAACTCCGTACACGGAGAGGCAGAACATGATTGAAATGATGGTGATCGAGCACAGAGCGCCGTGCCCCTTCTTCTCGAACAAACCCGCCTTTGAAAACTCTGTTGCCATTCTTCTGTAATCTTTCGACACTTCGGAGACCTCGAAATCTTTGAGATAAATTCCGGTGGAGAATTTCTTAAGGTACTGCCATGCAGTGCCGGGATGGTAAGCGATGAACGCGTCTGTAACATCCAGGCCACCCAGATTGTACAGAATGGTATCGCCGCCGGGGTGATCCTTCGCCCAATCGGAGACATTATAGACCTTGCCCTGGATAGAGATCCATAAATCTCCAGGCTTGTTGTGCTTCTTCAACTCCTCTACAGAAATATACTTCTTCTCCACCTCCATTTTTTGAACAACAATAAAAACCCAACAACAATTTCACAAAAAAAGATGAACGGTAAACAATTTTTTCTTTCCACACACAAATCAAACCGAGAAAATCCCTGTGTTCATGGGTCAGTTTTTTTCTTTGGAACAAAAAAAAAAAACGAACCCGGTAGGACGTTGGGATAATCTCAGATTTGATTTGGGTTTTTTGGATCTGTTTTCAAACTCCTTTCTTATCTCTCAATTTCTCTGGGTTTTCTTTGGATTTGTTTTTGGGTTGCAATGTGATTTTTTTTCTTATTTCTACCAAAAATCATATTTGGAATCAGATTTATATGGAAACAGGGGAAGTTGAGAGGATGAGTTTTGTTGCTTGCAGCGAGGAACGCGGTCCAGCGTCCACTTTTTAAAACCAAATCCTAAGCAAATCATTATGTAACACCGCATTTTAAATAAACCTAGTGCAGGTGATAGTCACGTGATTCCAGGCTCTAGCGGTGCAAAATAGGGTTAGTGTGCTATTCATGTACTTTTTTTTTTTCTTCAAATATACCTTTTTAATTTATAGTCGTCGGATCAATTGAATTAAAGAAGATCAAATGATAAAAATTAACAAGGGGGTGTGTGAGAAGTAAAAAGGGATATGTGGATAGCACACCCCTTATTCAGAAGAATATGATCACATTTTTTCACCACATTAGTGTGTTATTTGATAAAATCAATGTGTATATATTACGTCAACTAAAATGTTTATTTCATTGAATGTGAGTTGTATGTATCGTTTGTTTATTAATGAATTTACCTCATTTGATGGTTGGGGTGGACATCAAATTGAGCGAACTGTCCAAATTGACCAATCCAAATCGTTTTGGTCAGTTAGGTTTGGTTTTCACTAAGAAAAGGTAAAACAATTTAAAAATCAACCCGCACCGATTTTATGTTGGTTTGGTTCGATTTTGATACTTTTGAAACCGATCAAAATCAAATTGAATTGACTATATATCTTTTAATTATAATTTTATTTATTTTACATTTCAACATTTTTTTTTTTAACAAACGATATTATCTACACTAAGGGGGTGGGAGACTGGGATAAGTCTCACAATATTCTAGCAATAATATAGTTCAAATTTACCTCGGCAAGAATCAAACTTAAGACCTCTCACTTACCAATGAAAAGGCACACCACTAGACCGTAATACTAAGTGGCTACATTTCAACATACTATAGGTTATTGGATGTCTAATTATACATGTACAGTAAGTGTTTACATATTATAAGTTGAAATGACTACTAATAATTACAAGATTTGTTTGTATTTTAGGCTTATGTGAGATCATAACAAATAAATTGTATGTTAACATGAGATTTTATATGATTGAAACTTAGTATTAGTTAACTTGATGAAATTTTTATGTTCAGAAAACTTAATCTTTTAATCGGATTGGAATGTGCGACATGTAATTTTCTACATGTCTTGAAATGTTGTACATTTTTTATTAATGTGTGGGGATTAGGCTTAAAATGACCGAATCAAACCGAACTAAACCAATTATAATAACTTGGTTTTGTTATGTTTCAATAGTGATATTGATCAAACCGAACTAAAATCAATTGTTGAATGCTAGTTGGTTTGATTATATTTTTTTATGCCAAGCCGATCCGCGCCCACCTTTAAAACTTAATAGTATACTAATAGTTACCGAGATATTTTTTCTAATTTTTTTTTATTTTTATTTTTTTTGGTGACAAAGACTAAGAAAATGAAATTTATGCTAAAAGTTACACTAGTTATAAATTAGTATTCAACTAGCCATTCATCAAAAACTGAAATTTCCTACTTGCATACAGAATCTTAGGACTAGCAGCTGTCTTCAAGTCATGTTTATTTATTTATTTGCATTAATTTTATAGTTTTTTTTTTTAGTACAACGATATATCTTATATTAAGAAGATGAGAAGTTCAGCTAAGTCATACAATGTGTGATTTAATTTGGTATCGAACTTGTCATTTACAAGATTCAAATTTAAAACTTCTTACTTATAAGTAAAAATAAACACTACCAAATTATATGCTGAATTTTATGTGATTGATCAATTTGGAAATACACGCATCAGGCTCGCGGCTCACATGCACACGCGTGGCGTGAAAAGACAACCGATGGCTTTGTTTAGAGCGCACCACGACTTGTTTTGTGGAGGGGGGCGGGCGCCTGTGGCTGTAAAGCAAACCGCGGGGCGGGCGCCTGCGGCTGTAAAGCAAACCAACTTTAAGATTCCTTTTCAACGGAAGAATATCTATATAGATTTTTATTAAAGAAAACTAATAAAAAAATAGTTCAAGAACTTTGAGTTTTAACGATAAAAACAAAATAAATGATAAAATAAATAGTATCATGATTAACTTTTTAGTATAAAAAGATGGTTTTTCATTAAAGTGAATAGTATCGGGAGTTTTTTTGTTAAAGTTGTCTTTTTATTATTGTTTTTTATTTCCTTGTATAGAGGGTTATAGAGGTGCGAATACAAGTTATTCGGCTAAGAATATATTTAAAGGATTTTTGGTTAAAATAGGTTTTTAGATTTATATAACTCATCATTTTTATTTTGAGATTTGAAATTAATAAAAGTAATTCATCAATCATTTTAATCTTTCCGCGACTTTGAATTAAACTAATTTTTGCGGTTCGGTTCCGTATGGTTCTCAAACTTGAATCGAAATGAATCAAACCTTTTTTGGGGGCCTTTTTTTTTGGGTTTTTTTTTTTTTTTTTTTTGGAGAGAGAGAGAGAGAGAGAGAGAGAACTTGAATCGAAATGAATCAAACCTTTTGGGGTGGAAATGAATCAAACCTTTCGTGGGTGGGTGAAGTGATAGGGTTGGATTTATGGTTGAGAACCTTTTGTCGGTTGGGGAAGTGATACAGTTGGATTTATGATTGAGATGCCTGTATACTTTTTTTTCTCTGTTTTTTAGATACGGATAATTTAGGAATATTGTAAATTACATGGGTGTCCAGTGTGCCGACAAAAAATAAAATATCTAAAGATAAAAATTAGGGGTATAAAATATAAATAATCAATTTTTCTTTTTTTTTTCAAAATTTTGTTACACATGGATTACTTACCGCTAACGAAATGATTGGTATTAACTTTAATGTGAGTCTCATATTCTTGACAAGACAAAAATATAAGCGGTCATCAATCATAGACTCGTAATCCTCAACTCATGTATGCAAAATTGTATTTAACCAAAAAAATCCAAAATTAGGAGGCACTTAATTAGTTCATTTTGTTATTTCTCATGAGCACCAAACTTTTCTAATGATAAAATAGAAGCGAGTGTCAAACTCTAATCATGAATATACGATTAACCACCCATAAGAATATGTCGGATAAGCTAAAATTAATTTTATCCATATTTGTCAAAAGTATATTATTAGAAAAGAGAGTAATTATTTGTTACAAAAATAGGACGTACATTTTTGATAGTTTCATCCATAGTTGGTTCTACCTAATGATTCCAATTTAAAATGTTGCTTTTAACCTCGAATTTTTTAAGGACAAAATGGAATTTTTCTTTGCAAGCAAGGACATCATAACATTATTATTGTTAAGGACCATGTCTTCATTTTTTGACCTTTTCTACGTTGTTTCGTTTATTTTGCACATGCATGTGTACTGAATGCGTGGACGTTTAAGCATACAAGTGTTTGATAAAAAATTGTTATATAGTTAACTTGTTAAAAATATTGGAAACTTCGTGTGGTTTTTTTGCAGAATATAGTAACATTTCGAACCGTACCATATGTTAAGTAGTGGGAAAACGTGTTTGGCAAGTCACGTTAACTACAAAACCGCCCTTGCCATATTTAGGGTTTAGCAAAATGAGAATCTAAGATTATGAGCGGAGGGAATCCATGAATGAATTGTTCTATACTCTTTTTCGTTAGAGAGTATTGCTGTTTGGATCACATTATTTGTTTTCCAATTTACATTTACTCACTCGCTCTCATGTTTTTGTGGACAACTACAAACGTGAATTTTACGCACTTGGATGTGATGGTTTTCGTTTCAGGACTTGCATTGTTTGAAGGAGTTTTTTTGCCTTCTTATTGACTCTTCAATTGTTAGATTACTTCCAGATTTTCTATACATTTCTCAATTTTGGAGGCATGTAGGAGGAAAGAGACATGTCTTTTCTTTCTTGTACCACTTGATACAACTATATTGCGTGGAGATCGCGCTTGCCATGAGAAAATAACTACTTTTCCATACTATTGATTGGTATGAAGTTTTATCATAAAAGATGATTGTGATACGTAATTTTAACATTCTCCAACTATATGTTTTTTTGGTTTGCTGATGAAATGCTTCGCCACATTCATTTAGCCAAGAGTGTCATCCCATGAGAATTCTCTGTAACTACTCATATATCCCACCAAAAATATTTCTCGAAGGGGTTGGTGGGTGGTTTGCACAGTGGAATTAAGGTCAGATATTTATTTATAAGCCTGTATGTCAACATAGCCACCACACAAAAAATTTCAAATTCACTTGGGCAGGATGTGAGATGCTATATGCTACCTCGACGGTCCACTTTGGTGGATCCAAACTCGACTTTGTTTTCAATAAATTAGTCTGAACTGGTTTGCAATTACGTATTTTTGTAAGTAGAATTGATTCATTTGGATTCGTTTTAAATGTTCTAGTTCTTACGGGTATAACAAATTTGTTTTCAATTGTATGTCGTATAACAAGACAACAACATAAAATACTTTTGATGTATTTCTGTTACGAAAGAATTATGTCTAACAAAAGACAATACCAACAAATCTTCTAAAGAAAATCAAAACTTCATAAATTTGATTGATATTTTACTTCTTAGTGTTAGATTAGGTATGAAATTATGGATTATGGACTTCATTGTTGACTGCTAATAAAATAACAAGTGCTAAAATAACCATTAAATGGTCTGGTCTAGGTTACCCACACATAACAAATATGGACTCAGTCTTGGACATGGTTTTACACGAATCGAGTCTAAATCGGACCGTTTGAAATATTAAAAGTAAAAACCGAATAATTTTACATTGGCCGAGTAATAAAGTCCGATGCACGGATGCAAAGACTCGTATACATACCCTTAGTGAATTCATTTTCACAAACCATACCCCAACTTTATCAACATTAATGACACATCTAAGTGTCATATGGTGGTTAGAGAAAGGACTAATAATGATTCGAAACTAGTGTAATAACTAGGCAAAATAGTTTGAGTGTGATCGTTGTACTACCACGTAAGTATTACTAATCGATCCTTTCAAAAAAACACAAAAAAAAAAAAAAAACAAAAAGTATTACTAATCGACCTGTTATAATATGAGTAGCTTGTGTTATAATAGTATAACGTGTTTACTTGTACAGAATAGATTTGTACGGAATGAGTTATATCTTTTGTTTACCAACACCGAATTAATCAACCTATTATAATATGAGTGGCCAACATATTATAATATAAAAGGACTGTAACACCACGCGGTGGTAAGTCTCACTGAAGTGCCTCTCAAACTAGAACACCTCCACAAATGAGCCCTTCTTGAAACAACTACTTTTGGTCACATATATATTCCAAAACAGTGTCATTTGCTCATGCCAGTTTTTCACTGGTGCTCAGTTTTATCTACGATACGATATTACAATGAGAGAAATTCTACGGAATCCATAATCATCTCATACTATACAGAATATACAAGGGGGTTGTACAATATACTACTTTCACTCAGAACGAGTAGTTTTTAAACAGATTAGTACAATCTATTCGGAAATGCTAGTTCATCAACCAAAGTCTGGCAGTGCCGGTGTCGACTAGGGCAACACCCTTGCAATCCGAGCCAACCTTTTACCATTAAGTAGTTGCCAAGCCCTAGCTCAATATGTACTCAAGTATAGGCCATATCACGGCATACGCCAAAATTTTGGGACATCTTAAAGCATCATCAAGTTCTCTTTGAAGACGAAGAAGATGAAATTTTGAAATATGTTGGCCTTGGGGTTGAGGGGCATCCGAGAGATTGCATTATATCCGCTACGGTCAGCACTTGAAACTTTGGTGGTGGAGAATTGAGAGCAATGTTATCAACCCGATGCTCAAAGATCTTCCCTTGCTTGTCAAGTTTGTACTCAGAGGTTCCATCAAATCGACCACGACTATCCCAAGGGACTCGTGGAATGCCATGGATGGTCCAGCGAACCATGATTACATTGTCCATGGGCTGCCATACGCTAATGACATCAACCCACAAGGCCCTGAAAAATATTTGACCATGGAAACGCAGTGCCCAATATATAGACTTATAATTCTCAATGCCCATAAAGGTATTCATTGGATCTTTGAAAGTGATATCATCCCTATACAGAACACAGAACAATCATTAGCATCTTTTTAAAGAAAGCCAAATGTAATGTACAGAAGCTTTTATGAGGACAACACATGCACATTTTTCAACAGAACACTCTAAAGATTTGCAAACCCTCAAAAAGTACTGGCAATCTCAAGCATACGACAACACATAACCCAATATTCCAACAATCTTGTTTCAGTTTGCATATACCTCACCATGGAGGCTTCGTCATGAATGCACTCCCTAATCTATTGACAGTCTTATAGCCAAACCCTATTAAAGTTATTAACCAGGGCGTACATGAGCCCCGTTTAGGACCAAATTTGTCAGTCATATGGGCCAAAATTGCAAGTTCAAAGCATACAGACTGATATACATTTAGTGTTAACTAATGATCCCAAACTAAAGCTCTAATGAGCAGATGAAAGCAACTATCAATATACACTGTCAATCCAAACAGAACTGATGTTACGGAACTATAATGATGAACATATAGTTTCATGTTCAAATCTTCAGTTAGACTTGACCCTCAATTGGGGGTAACATAATGACTAGGTAAAAGAAAAGACAACGAATTTCGAGTTCACAATTGCAAATTTGTAGCAAAGGTTTCTTATATTCATACTCTGAGGTCCCAAAGTACCGAAAGCATTTAAATTTTTGGTTTACCCAAAACTCCCCACGAACTAATTCTTCTTTTCTTTTTTGAACTTTCTTGGCAACCAAACTGAAGGTTCGAAAAACAACGAAATCAAACATTTTAAATTGATCAATTGACAAAGTTCTCAAATTCAATCTAAACCAAAATAATAAAGAACATAAAATTCATCAACTTTCTTTCAATCTCCCTACATTTCTCAGCAACCAAACAAAGAGTAATTGCAAAATATTGAAAACACAGAGAAGAACAAAGACGAAACCTGTAAATGTCGAAGCTGAGCTCTCTGTAAAACAGCTGAGGAAATTCCTCTCTCAGAGTCCGAATCGCATACCCCATATTCACATAGTAATCCTGCTTCTTTTCCTCTTCTTTGCTCGGCTTCGAACCTCCTCGCTTCACAGGAGCCGAAAAATGTCCGTACAGCCTCACGTTCTGGTCGAATTCCGAAACCCTAACCGTACAATCCCTAACCTTGGACGAAACCCTAACCCTAGAACCAAACCCAAATTTATCAATGTTCGTCGAGATTTTAAAGCTTTTGGGATTGGGATTAGGGTTGCAGAAAACTCTGGATATTTCCGGCGAAGGAATGAGAAGTACCATTGGGAGATTTCAGATTTTCAGTCGGAGAATTTGGGGCTCAGAAAAAGGCAAGAAAAAGCCATTTTCTCGAGAAAATTTGTAAAATTTGGTTTGGGGATTTTATTGGCTGGAGAGGGAAAGGAAAATCTGTTTGGATAATATTATGTTTTGTTTTGGATAAATTGGAATTATCGGTTAATTAAAATAACTAAAATATGTGATTGGTTGTTGGGCACACACGTGCGACGCCTTTCCTTTTGACTTGCCGCGGGTTTTATTCTTCTGCCGGGACTTTACCGTCGTTACGATAATATAATACATTAACTGTAAGTTTATTATCTACCTTTTAGCATATATAATATCGTTTATTTGAAAGAAAAAAAAAAAACCCATTAAAAGTATTTTATCATAGCAAATCCGAATTCATAGCCTAAAAAAAATATAGGAAATAAGGCTTTCAACATGACCGTGACCTCTCTTGCTGAGCCCATATACCATGTATTTTTGGGAGATGACTCTGCTTTATTTTGTAGAGCTACAGAGATCGAGGTTTATAATATTAAATGTTTGCTCCAAAGGTATGTTGTGGGTTCTGGCCAGTTCATTAATTTGGATAAGAGTTTGGTCCATTTTAGTGTGGGTCGCACATTTTGGGGATTACACACAAGGAAGGCTTTGGAAAATATTTAGGTATACAATTAGATTGTGGGGCTTCGAAGACAAAGGTGTTTGAAGAAGTACGAAATAAATTGGATGAAAGAATCAATGGTTGGGCAGAACAGTTTTTGTCAGTAGCCAGTAAGGAGGTGCTTATTAAGAGTGTTGCGGTGGCTTTACCTATTTATACCATGTCATGTTTTCAATTGCCTATTCAATTGGCAAAGGAAATTGAACAAATTATAGCAAGATTTTGGTGGAGGGATCAGAAGATGAAAAAGGGTGTCCATTGGCTTGCTTGGAAAAAAATGGTGAATAGAAAGGCTTCTGGAGGTCTTGGCTTTGAGGAGATTATTGACTTTAATTTAGCAATGTTGGCTAAGGTGGGATGGCACCTGATATGCAACTCGAAGTCGCTTTTGGCTAAAGTTCTTAAGGCTAAGTATTACCCTAATTCATCGTTTCTTGAAGCATCAATGGGACAAGGAACTTCATGGGGATAGAAGGGAATTTTACAAGGGAGGAAAATTTTGAAGTCTGGTATACGATGGAGGGTTGGTGATAGGAGAAATATTCAGGTTGTTGAGGATCCTTGATTGCCCACACCAAGAACATTTCGACCTGTTTCAAGACCTCCGGAGATGCCTAGGATGGTTGCCGATATGGTGTTTATTGGAGGAACATGTAAACATGAGGTCGTCAAGAGGTGTTTTAATGTAGACGAAGCACATATCATTTTGAGTATGTTGTTAAGCCAGTTTGGGTGTTCTGATCGTGTCATTTGGCACTATACTCGAAATGGAGTCTATTTGGTGAAATCAGGATATTTGGTAGCCCAAGAGATGAATAGGAATAGAGAACTTGGACAGAAGGGGGTGGGGCAATCCAGTAGGGATAATAATATGGATTCGGTATGGAGGGCTCTTTGGAGTTTGAAGGTTCCTCCCAAGCTCCGCCACCTTATATGGAGAGGATGTCGGAATATACTTGATGTCCATACCAACCTGCAATGGAGAGGGATTCGTTTAAGTACTAGTTGTCCCTTTTGTGATTGTGAGGAGGAAACACATGTACATATCTTTTTTAAATGCTCCTTTGCTTGTGTCTTTTGGTTTGGTTCTCCGCTCCAATTAGACGTGACCATGGTGGTGGGCGATGATTTTATGCAATGTTGGATTTGGTTGTCTGCAAAGTATGGTAAGATGGAGGAGGCTTGTGCGCTTATGTGTTGGGTGGTGTGTGGTTTATGGAGAATATGGAAGTGTCGTAATAGTGTGGTGTTTGAGAAGATTGTGGTAGAACCTAATGGTGCAATGCAGTTACTTCAGCAACAATGGGAGGAGATTGTGGGAAGTGATGAGGATCTACTGCCGTGCAAAGTCCCTGGCAGTTTGGGCGAGGGACGATTTTCGAATGGGTGGATAAAACCGCCATTTGGAATAATAAAATTTAAATTGTGATGGAGCCTGGTGTAATAGTACTAGTGTGGGTGGATATGGGTGGGTAGCGAGAGATTTTGCGGGTATTTTCAAAGGTGCGGGCGGTTTGGGGAAGGTTCTATGTGGTTTGAGCATCATGGCGGAAGCGGAAGCACTTAGGATGGCTATAATGGTGGGATTTGGTTATGTTCATTTGGAAACTGTTTCCAAGGTCCTTGTTGATATGATTCATGGAAAGCTGCAACCTGAGGCCACCATGGAAGATATTAGGGCTGGTTTGGTATTGCTGTGCTTTGAAAAAAAGTTGTTTTTGCTGTGCTGTGAGAATAAGCAGCTGTGAAATAAAGCAGCAGAGTGTTTGGTAAATTTTTTTGTAAAAGTGCTTTTGAAAAAAAAAAACAGTATTATAGTGTTTGATAAACTTTTATGTAAAACAAATGTGAAAAAAAGCCGGTTTTTCAAAGCTGGGTTTTGCAGCTTCTTGTTTTTGGCTTTTTTTCACCCAAAACTGTGAAAAAAAGCTGAAGCTGAATGTTTACCAAACACAAAAACAGCTCCCAGCTTTTTTTGATACCAGCTTTTTTCAGAATCACATCGGTACCAAACCAGACCTTAATACTATTAGGCAACGTTTATGTTCTATTGAGTTTCTTTACACTTCTTGTGCCTGTAAGGAGGCTGCGCATCTTATGGCATCTTATGTTACTCGTGTGCGGGGGGAGGGGTGGGGTGTGCATTCTTGGGATGAGTTTGAGCCTGAGTGGTTGTTTAATGTTCTGGTGTCTGATGTAAACATTTCGATTCGTATCTAATAATAACTATTATTTGATTAAAAAAAAAACTTCGAAAATAAATTGAAAAAATATTAATTTATAGGGTTCGGTTTTTGAACCACCAAACCAAAACAGAACTAATACTGTTTAGTTTGGGTTTCAATCGTTTTATTTTCAGTTTTCTGCTCGATTCTTTTCTTTTTTGATTTTCGGAGCCCACTCCTACTAGTTATCTTCCGTAGCAAGTCATGAATAAGTATCATTAAACAAAAATTGTAAGGGAGAATTGCATAATGTTGAACCGCCAATTGCCTGTAGTTTTGCCTTGGATCCCAATTCAAATCATTGCTACATAACGCCCAATGCAAACCGTCATTGCATAATCTTAATGAGTTTAAGGTTTTGTCAACTTCAAGATTCTGCCTAACAATACAGCATTCATAACGGATTCAGGAAAATATCAAAAGGAGTACTAGTGTAAAAGTTCAGACAAATTTTGTCGAAATCTATCTGTGAGCTATTTAGTCGAGCACTTAGTAAGCTTGTCGGTGTCAAACCATACTGCCAAGCAATATTGACATCGTCATTTAAAAAATCAACAATTATCTTTTGTAAGAACTTTTGAAGATCTAGAAGCGTTTTTTGTGAAACCAAACCAATACTGAAATACTTTATTGTCAAATTACTTATAGTTTCACTAAACTTGAAAAATTAAAAAGGAAAAGAAAAGAAGAAACGAATCACATGCCCCTCGCAGCGTACAAACCTACCTCAGAAAACGACAGATCTCTTGCCGTTAATTAAATTTTCGAGCCAGCATTCTTCCAACTGCCATTTTCCGTTACATGTGCAGCGCACTAACTCTCTCGCTCCTCAGCAATAAATACGCTGCAAATTTCCCTTCCGTTTAACTCCAAATTAAATTTAAAATTAAATTAATCCAATAATTTAGAAAAACACCCACCACCTCTCGGCGTTGCTTCAACCACACTCTCACTCCCACCAAAACCTAACCCCCCCAATCTAACCGCAGCTGTAATTACATATTTAATTGCATCGTCTTCCTGCAATTTGCAGTAATTTTGATCGTTGGTTCGGTTAGAAATGGAGCTGGAGCAGCACCAACCGGGCAACCCGGCGATGACCTTCGACGAGGTCTCCATGGAGCGCAGCAAGAGCTTCGTCAAGGCCCTGCAGGTTGGATCTTGGGACTGGATCTGAAGTTGATTTCGTTTCAAATTGATTGGTTTGTTGCATCTTATGAATTGGTTGATTGAATTTGTGGGGTTTCGGATTATTTAGCTTGAAAGTTAAAAATCTTTTGGGTGTGTTATGTTTTCGAGAATAATGATTAGCAATGAATTTTGAGCTGTTAATGCCAAGCATTTGTTAAGGAAGTTAAGTTCTTTATGGTAGCTACTGTTGCATTGGTAATGCTATTTAAATTCTCTGAATTGGGCACTATGTAGCTGTACTGGGTTTATGTAGACCAATGGATGTAGCGTGAAGCCTTTTTTTGTTCCTACTTCCGAGGGTTTGTGTTAAGAACTTCGTTTGAAATGATACCGTTATGCGGTTTGAAGAGAAAAATAGGGCATTTTTGTAATGGTTGGATCCTCATAGTCTGTTTGCTATGTTTATCTCAGGAACTCAAGAACTTAAGGCCTCAGCTTTATTCTGCTGCGGAATATTGCGAAAAATCCTATCTTCATAGCGAACAGAAACAAATGTAAGGATATTTGTTTTACTGGTTGCAAGTTTCTGAGAAGGAATGCTCCAGCATGTCATACACATCTGGATGCTTTTATCGTCGCTTGTTTGATTCTCAGTTTTACCAGGAATTCTATGCTCCATTGCTTGCTGGCATTGATTTTCAATTTATGCATCAGGGTACTGGACAACCTGAAAGATTATGCTGTACGGGCCCTTGTTAATGCCGTTGATCACCTTGGCACTGTGGCTTACAAGTTAACTGACCTTCTTGATCAGCAAACCTCAGACGTCTCAACCATGGATCTGAAAGTTACTTGCCTAAATCAGGTGAGTTTCAAATTTCTGCACGCTAGAATAGAGAGGGTATCAAATAGATAGAGTTTAGCTTAACAAACTTCATTTCTCAATCTAGAAACTTCTTACATGCCAAACATACATGGATAAAGAAGGGTCGAGGCAGCATCAGTTGTTGGCATTCATTCCGAGACATCACAAGCACTACATTTTACCAAGTAAGACACAATATTGTCAACTTCTTGTTAGAGTTGCCCTGTTTGTAATGAGATTTTTTACATTTATTTCCATTTCTCTCCTTGCTAGATTCCATGAATAAGAAGGTACATTTTAGTCAACATCCTTATCAAGCAAGAGCACATCTTCAGTTTTCAAGTATGTCACGTTCCGTTGGACGCTTGCTTATGACTTATGAGTCCACTTTTCATTGGGCGATTAAGCTTTTCTAGTTTATGGCATTTGATTTTACAAGTTCTTATTGTGCACAAGTAATGAGTTTGGCGTTTCAACAATGTGTAACATTTAGGCGCTGCTGCATCAAAAACTCTTTCTTGGCATTTAGCTTCAGAAACGAAATCAACCTTGAAGGGGACTCCACAGGCTCAGACTAGGTAATTCCTATAAGAAACAAGAATCTTGCATATGGTTTCGCTGTGCTTGGTACAAACTTGTTTTTGTTGGTTATCTAGCGCGTCTGATACTTCTAAGAAAGCTTAAATGTTTTGGGATATTTACCTTTGTGCAGCATTGAAGACACAAAAATTTCTGTAAACACTGCTGGTGTTTTCCAGCTTGTAGGTATGTTGAATTGGATGGTTACGTCATCATATCACCTAGCTGCGAATAGATAAGTTTTACTAGAGAAACGATAGTTGTTTATGCTTCGACTAATATGAATGCAGAAAATGAAGAAGGGAGTGCCTCTAAATCCTTGGCAATTCAGCTTCAGCAACCAAGTGGATTACCTAATTCTGGCGGGGTTAAGCAAACATTGGGTGCTGGACACAGGGTAGAGCGATCATGTCCTCCAAGTTCTGATCTCCGTATTACAGAAGATAAAAAATTTGAAAGCTGATGAGAAGTTATTTTCCTTGCAGGAAGCAGTAGATGGTTCGAAACCAATGACGGCGTTCAGGTCATTTGAGAACCCAAGACGGGACACAGTGCGTGTCCCTGTTCGCAGCAAAAGTGTGCTATCGGCGTTCTTTGTCAAACAGAAATCGAATAAGCTGAAGGCTGGATCCGTCTCGTGAGATCTCATTAAAACAAACAAGTTAAAGATGCTGACACCCTCATTGTGTGGGTCAGTCAATTTGCCTGTAAATCCCCTTGCCCGTTAGTTTATCAATTGCTTGAAATCAAAATTCTTGTTTCTTTTTTCCCCGGGCTGCTTAATAACGAGCAAATTGTGCACACAAGTCCCTGTAATCTTGCACCTCATAACCATCCCATTGGTTTCTGGTATCTTACTGAATTATCCGCTTTTACGCAAAACCACGTGTAAAAATGCGTTCATTCTTTCTACTTTGTTGGCTGGTCGTACTTTTGTCAAGCGTGATATTTGTGCGTTATATACGAATTACCTAAACTAAAATGTTCAATAACAGTTGCTATTCTTACACTTTTTTTTACTTCTCACATGTCTCTTGTTAATTTTTATTCTTTGATCTTTTTTAATTCAGTCGATCCGACAGTCACAAATTAAGAGAGAGTATAAGAAATGAAAAGAAATGTGTTGATAACACATTCCCTTTAATAATCACATATACAAAATTTTGCCTTCATTCGCAAACCCACTCGTGAAACTATTTTCTTTCCCACGGTGATAACTCGTGAAATTTCTTCCTTTCCCCATCACGCTCGCTGGGTGACAGTAAGGAAACGACTTGTCGTTTGATGAATCGGATTCGAACACCGACAGCAGATCGGCACCTCTAAATCCTAAACGACAACAAAGCAAACTCCTTCCCCTCTAGGCTTTGATCTGCTGTTCTAAACCACCACACTCCGACCGAGGAACACTGTGATCACTCGATCGGCAGCAGCAGCGCCACCCTTCTTACTTTCACATCCTCGCATTAAATTTCGATAGTTTCAACAATTTTACTCAATTTTTAATTCCAAACTGCAAAATCCATCCAAAGTTTGCATCTTTACTTTCAAAACCAGAAGCTTCTGCATCAACAAAATCCAATTTTCACACTTCCCCCGTCGAATTTCAGCAATTTCTGAAAAACCCATCTCAAATTCTCACCTCTACAATCAGCCCCAACTCATAAATTTCTCTGCAACAATGTCCTCCTTCTTGTACCAAAGACCAATCCACAACCCACTTTCGGATCCGTACCCGATTTCCCCGCGCTCCTCCTCCAATGCCCAAAAACCGTACTCAATCTTCAGCCCCACGACCCTCCTGGTCCTCCTCTCGCTCCTGGTGGTGATGGGCGTCTTCTTCCCCTGGGTGGGCATGCGGGAGAGCCTCTTCTCGGACACCACCAGGCCCTCGACCGCCAACTGGCGGGACTACACGTTGGCTCAGGCGGCGGAGTTTGTGGCCCGGAACGGGACGGTGATTGTTTGCGCCGTGAGCCAGCCGTACTTGCCGTTTTTGAACAACTGGTTGATCAGCATTACCAGGCAGAAGCACCAGGACAAGGTGCTTGTGATTGCTGAAGACTATGCCACGCTTTATAAGGTCAATAAGCGGTGGCCTGGCCACGCCGTGCTGGTTCCACCTGCGCCGGATGCTCAGACTGCCCATAAGTTTGGTTCTCAGGTATAATTGCTGATTCTTGCATCTGGGTTTGGCTTGATTTGTAGATACAGTCGAGTTTTAGCTTATACTTGGAATTGTAAAGTTGGTTCATTGAAGTAATTGCTAGTTGATTTTGTTCTAATGTTGCGATGCTCAAGTTTTGCTTGTGCAGTTGAGGTTCTGTTTTCGGGTTTTAATTTGATGTTCGAATTTCATTGATCATTACATTGAAGTAATACTAATGCGCTAATATCATTTCCTTTCAATACATGGCGTGGAATACTAGTGTTTCTTCCTGTCACATCATTAGCACAATGAAGAATTAGATATGCAAATTTCATTGATCATTGAAATGTTAAATTTTTAATGTATTGTTCTGTTTGCTTCCCGCCCTCACTTAACATGAACTGCCTAAGTTCTCGTTATTTAAACTTCTAAATAATTGAACTTATCAGGTTTTTGCTCCAGTACATTGTTTCCCCCCTCAATTCTGCTTTTTGGCCCCTTGGTTTCGATTGCTTCTCTTGGTGTTTATGTTTGTTCTGTGAACCTGCACATGATGATTAGAATTGTTTGTTTTCATGAATTGTTGACTTATTGCCTTTCAAAAGTGATTTTGATTGATTTCCTAGTACAGGGATTCTTCAACTTTACTTCCCGAAGGCCGCGACACCTATTGCAGATTTTGGAGCTTGGATACAATGTTATGTACAATGATGTTGATATGGTGTGGTTGGCTGATCCATTTCCCTATTTCGAAGGAAACCATGATGTGTACTTCACAGATGACATGACCCCAGTAAGTACACCTAGTTTTGGTTTTTAGCTACTTGATGTGCTTAATTAGGAACAGATGCTAAGCATGTGCTGTCCTAAATTTCATGTTCATCAGACACCGGGAGGTGTGTTCAGCACAAACTTGATTATTAGTAAAACATTACCTTAAACCTTCCTTAATTTTTCCTTATGCAATAAGGGAAACTTTCAATTTTGTGCGTTCTTCGGTGGATGTGAGGCTTTGGGTATTGAGTGGATATATGGTGATATCTTTTGGCACCAGTTAAATACAGAAAGTGACTGCCAAAATCTCTATTTATTTTGTCGTTAAACCCTGCTCGCTACTGTATGTCTAAAAACTAAAATATATCAGATAACGGTGTTCTAGCGGTACCAGTTCTTGGTATAATTCTTTTGGAGTCTGCAGTCTAGTCTAATGCTGCAGATATATCTGCACTTTTGTTATGTTTACAAGTGATAATTCTTCTATTTTGGCAACCAGGTCAAACCTCTGAACCACTCTCATGATCTGCCACCTCCAGGAAAGAAAGGACGCACTTATATATGCAGCTGTATGATTTTTCTACGTCCAACCAGCGGAGCAAAGCTAGTTATGAAGAAGTGGATCGAGGAACTTAAAGATCAACCATGGTCCAGAGAGAAAAAGGCAAATGATCAACCTGCTTTTAACTGGGCATTAGACAAACTTGTTAACAAAGTATGTTCACTTTGAAAGTTGTGCTTGATATACCTTGACAAATTATTTAGATCCTTTGAGTGATTATGTTTATAATTTTCTGCAGGTGGATCTCTACCTGCTGCCACAGGCAGCATTCCCAACTGGAGGATTATACTTTAAGAACAAGACGTGGGTGCGAGAAACTAAGGGGATGCATGTTATAATTCACAATAATTATATCCTGGGTTTTGAGAAGAAGATAAAACGCTTCCATGATTATGATCTATGGCTGGTCGATGATCACGCGGATGAGTCTCCTCTTGGGAGAATATGAGATTGAATGACATCATCAATATTTGTTTCCATAGAAGCTCAGCTGTATCGATGCCCGCAGGAAATGCTTCCTACGAATTTGTGTGACCTTCGAGCCCGGTGGGTTTTTGTAAGAGACTTGGAAAGGGAAGGGAATGTGGTGGTGTTGGCTCAACTGGTTGTACAAACATTACCTCATGCCTCCCCTTGATCTCCTTTACTCACATTATTTGTTGGAATTCAATTCCAAATAGAGACTGAGCTTTTGATTGTTTTCCAAAAGAAGGAATGGATGCCTTGCAGTCGGAGTCAAATTTTGTCAATTTACTAGGAAAGTAACCTTTTAAGCCACTAGTATAAAATATGAGTTTAGGGCACAGAATCATCAGAAATTCCAAATCAAGAACAATAATTGAGATTTTCTTATATATATATGTATGTATGTATATATATATATGTATGTATGTATGGATGGTGCTATTACACACTTATTTTTATAAGTCATACACTATTATTAACTATTAGTAACTTTTGATCATTTGTTTTCTTCAATTCATTCGATTCGAGGTCGGCATGAGAGATGTAAAAATAAGTGTGAAATGTGTATGCATATGTCTGTCAGACAGCTTGCAAGGCATTCTCATTTTTGAAAAAAATTGAGATTAGTTGTGAGGTCCAAACAACATCAAACTTTAATAATGCAAGGCATTCCCATTTTGGAAAAAAAAATTGAGATTAGTTGTGGGGTCCAAATGATATCAAACTTTAATAATTCAAACCGTCTATTTTTTATGTTGCAACTCATGGACAATTCTTGCAAAATATCATCCCCAACGGGCCCCAACTCGTCGTATAAATCTAATTTATAATGGCTTTTCCCATTTTTGTTAATGTTTTATTATTATCATTTTTTAATGCAATTATATATTTTACACTAATAAAAGTAGGAGTTCGGTTAAGTCACATAATTAGCAACCTAATTTGGTATTAAATTCATCATTCACGATATTCGAATATAAAATATCTCACTTATAATTAAAAAATAATATTACCAAAATGTGGTACAGAGTGATAATATTTTATTATTGTCTTGAATAGCAGCTTTGATAACATTAAGAAATGAAAAATGGAATAAATCTAGTCATACGGAAGGATTTTATAATTACATAAATATGTAAAACTTTTTACTACGACAAAAATCATGATAAAATCAAAATAAGCATGACGCAACAGATTTCAGTAACTTGATGTATTCAAAGTACAAAAATTATCAAGCAGATTATAATATTAAATGTTGACAAATTAAAAACCTTTTGATCCATGCGAAGTTCTTCTCTCCAACAAAAAAAATTACTCAAAATTCTGGATTTTGATCTCATCCAGATCATTTTTATTTATTTATCATACATTGTGCAGTTACAAATTATTATGAATTATTTTATTTAAAATTAAATATAAACAATACTTAACGAAAACTTGCAGCTCAATCTATAAGGAACAGATTCTAACATAAAAAATCCGGAGAGGTTCCTTGTCCCAAAATTCTATATAACCTTGGTGCAAAGATGCTATCTTTACATTAATTGGAATATTTTAAACCACTTTGGGAAACTATTTATGAAAGAACAAATAAATAAAATTCTTAGGACACAATCCCTTTCTTTTTTTTTTGGTTAAGTACTAATCCCTTTCTTAGATCACAAAAGAAACCCTTATTTTTCTCCCCAAATATTTCGTCGATAAATCTGAAAAAAATTAACTTTTCATGGTCCACGTCAATATCAAACACCAATTTCTCACCTTCACTGCTTCTTCAGCATATTGCAAAAATCTCTGACTTTTCTTTGACTCACTTCACAAGCTTCCCTTGATAAATCAAAACGCTTATCTGAAAACACGCACGCACAAGCCATTGATATCTGTGTCGGTGAACGACCGTGAAAACTTTCTGGGTTTTTCGATTTCCAGAAAAAGCTTTGTGGGTTCTTGAACTTGCATAAAAAGCTACGTGGGTTTTCGATTTTTGATCTGGTTTTGAAGGAAATTCGTGTAAAGTTTGAAGCTTTTCGGTGTGAATCGATGGGAAGGAGAAGCTAGCTGAAATGGGTTCGTTGGAAAGTGGGGTCCCGTTGAAGAGGGACCCACTTGGGCGGTCTTCATCGAACGGCAGAAGCCCTTTTTTGCAGAGACCCAGATCGAAGTTTTCAAGGTTTCTGCTCCTGAAGAGGCTGGATTACCTCCAATGGATTTGCACTGTGGCTGTGTTTCTGTTCTTTGTGGTGCTGTTCCAAATGTACTTGCCTGGTTCGGTGATTGAAAACGAGAAGTCAGAGGATTTGAAGAAGAATGTGGGATGGAATTCAGAGGATTTGAGGTTTTTGAAGGAGTTGGGGTTGTTGGATTTTGGGGAAGACATTAGATTTGAGCCATCAAAGCTTTTGGAGAAATTCCGGAAGGAAGCTAGAGAGGCTAGTCTCTCTCCTGCTTTCAACAGGACGCGACAGCAACGTTTTGGGTACAGAAAACCTCAGCTTGCAATCGTAAGTATTCGATTTTTTCTGACAACTTTTCATTGATTTCCAGATATTGTGTTTTGTTTTGGATTAGTATTTTGGGTTTGGCTTCTTGTACTTGTAATGTATTGCATGCTGGGATGTGTTGACTTATTGGATTTTGTATGACTTAGTGCTTGCTTACTCTGTTTCTTTACTGATTGTTTTCGTTTTGTTGGCCTTCTGCTTTCGTTCTTCTACTTGGAAGGTTTTCGCAGATCTGTCGGTCGATTCACAACAGTTACTGATGGTGACTGTTGCTGCTGCATTGCAGGAGATTGGATACACACTTTCGGTAATTTGACTTCGAATTTAGCAATAACATTGTAGAATACCGTAGATTATATGCTGTTCTATGGGTGGTCCAGTTTTACTATTATTCCTTTGGTTGTTAGTTTGTCACCAGGGACATGCACGTCTCATGGATTAGTCTTTGCGCCATAAGTATCTACACTAATTCTGTGTTTAATACAGATTTTCTGGGCAGTATAATGTTTTGTATCATTGTGGCGATATATGTGATGGTGTTTTGTGTCATGTTGTTTATACTGCTGCAGGTTTATTCACTTGAAGATGGTCCTGTGCATGACATTTGGAGAGGTTTAGGAGTTCCGGTCAGTATTATCCAAACCACTGATCAGCCAGAGCTTAATGTAGACTGGCTAAAGTATGTCTTCAGGCTAATTGTCTAATGCATTGTGGACTTTTTACAATTTCGTTTCAATGCAACATTGTTGAATATCTTCTCACTTCGACTAGCACATATGTTGTGTTTGATTGACACCATTTGAAGCATTATTGAAATTAATATGCGCGTCAATTCTTTACATAAGGCCTTTCATGTTCTTATAATATTCATCTTTTTTATAGTTTGTATGCAACATCCTTAATCCTTTTTACTTTTGGAGAGTATTAATATGCTGCATTGGGACCAAATCCCATGCTCACACCACGATTCCTCTTTGTTTGAATACATTACCAAATTCCCGCGAATATTTGAATCGTTGTTAGGATATGTAACATCACTTTGATTTCCTGGAAATTTATGTGACTTGTGACTGGATTTGGTTGATTTTGTTGACATTGTTAAATAAGTCAATGTTAGTGAGCATGGTTCAGTTAATTAGATCTATTGACGGTTGAATCTGATCAAAACATGTGTCTTGCAGTTATAACGGCATACTTGTGAACTCTCTTGAAGCAAAGGGCATCTTTTCTTGGTAAGATATGTAATTCAGTTACAATAAATTTTATGATCTTCCTAATTATTAACATCACTGGAACATGTATTTTTCCATTGAAACTGCCATTTGCTTTAGTGTGTATTTCTTAAATGTAGTTGATGCTTTGGTGTTCTTCCCATCAGAAACTTCTCTATCAAACAACGTGAATGATTTTATTTGTCGCAGTTTTCTGCAGGAGCCTTTCAAGTCTTTACCTATAATATGGACTATCCATGAACAAGCACTTGCTGCTCGATCAAGAAAGTACTCTTCAAATATGCAGATTGAACTTTTAAATGATTGGAAAAGACTCTTCAGCCGATCTACTGTTGTTGTCTTCCCAAATCATTTTCTGCCGGTAAGATTTATTTGACAAGTGTGATTTTATAGCACTCGTTAAATTGTTGATTATCATTATATCACCAGATCATACACATGAAGAGGTTGTGTCTATACTCCTCCATGGTTCTTCTGGGACACCTGAGTGGTCATTACTTGCTTTTATATTGCCAATTTGTGGGCTCAACCCCATAGGCCATAATTTAGCAGACAAGTGTTTAACTTTATAGCACCGGTTAATTTCTTACATCTCATTCTATCACGTTATCATATGCGTGAATCGTGATTTACTGTGTGATGCGAAAATTACTTGACACTCAAATTAAACCCTCGTTTGACAATTGTAGTATGGATGTAAGTAGGGATCGTTCTGGACCGGGGATTAGGAGGGATTGTTAACCACTTGGATTTGACTTCAAAAACGTAAAAACAAGATAAAACACTAAACTAGACTCAAAGAATGTGAAACTAAACGTTAAAACACTAAGACAAACCAAAAGACTCAAAATGCTTTAAAAACACAAATTAAATTGATTTCTAACTAAATTGAACAATAAAGTAAAGGGGGATTGGATTTGGACGACTTTAAACTAAAAATGGAAACTTGGAAACAAAACAAATTGTAAATATGGATTTGACGGAAATGAATGGATGGGAAGCTAGCTAAGGGGTTCATCTCCACATATGTTATACTTGCATACAAAACGATGTCTAATTGCTTTTCAATAAACCATGAATTCTCAACGCCCCGGGTTAATTAGGTCCGCTTAAATTAACCGTCAAGTTTTCCTTAAGTTAATGAATTGGATGATTGCATACGACAATCCAAAGCATTCCTCACAAGTTCCCTACATGAATTGCATAATAGAGATACAAGCAAGAATCATTAAGCATCATGAAAACTATAAGTGTTGACGAGGCATTCGTTACTATGATTGTATGAAACTTATGCCAAGAATATGTTTAACACGATTGTTTATAAGCAACCTCCACTACTTGTGAATATAAGTTCATAACTATTACGTGAAACTCACTTATATTCTAGCGTCAAATTCATGCATGAAAATTAAGCGTTCATTCTTAATAAACATACATAAATAGGTTATGAATCAAACAGTTAAACAAATTGAATTCACAACTTATGAAACGTAATTAAAAGTAATCAAATCATATTACAAACATAAACATAGTTTCGAATTA